ATGGGACTGAGTTGTGATTTTAGGTTTTAGGTTATGAGTTGCGATTACGGGATTTTGTCTTAATATTCTTTTTGTAATTTGAAAATAAAATACGCGTAGCGATTATAATGGCGCTTTAAATATCGCGTTGCGATTTACGGATACGCGTTGCGATTTTATGTATTATCGTTGCGATTTACGGATACGCGTTGCGATATACGGATACGCATTGCGATTTACCCATACGCGTTGCGATTTACGGATACACGTTGCGATTTACGGATACGCGTTGCGATTTATGTGTTCGCGTTGCGATTTTAATATTCGCGTTGCGATTATGGAAAATCGCAATGCGAATTTGTACTATCGCATCGCGATTTTCAAGAATCGCGTTGCGATTTTTGGAAACTGATTTGCGATTCTGGAAACTGATTTGCGATTCTGGGGATCGCGTTGCGATTTTTATTTCGCGTTGCGATTTTGTTGGTCATTTTGGCAAATCCAAAAAAAGTTGGTTAAAATCGTATATTATAACTTTTTTTTGGTCACTGAGGCGATTTTCTCTTTTAAATATACGTTTAAAATCTACTCTAAATAAAATAAGGTGAAGGGCTTTTTAAACAAAACGTTTTGATAAAAATGTATACCAAAAAAGCTATGCTTTCCCTTTATCAATTTTTTTTTGTAAGTACGAAATGTTTTAGTGATAAGGTAGGTAGGTCACGACGTTCACGGTTCAGATTGTGAGTTGGTATGAGCAAAAAAAAAATGTAGTAGTTCAGTCGGATGGCTTAGAACTTTTAAATGAAGAAAGTAAAATTAATTATAATTATAGACATAGAGGCATAAGCCATTTAAGTTTTTTAATTGTTGGACCTCTAGATGATTTTTTGAGGATTATTAGGGACTCTTGGCTTAAGCAGTGTGTTGGCAATCCTATGCAGTGCTTATTTCTCAAACTAAAAAGGCTAAAGCCTTGACTGAACGAACTTAACAAGAACCAATTTTCTGACATCTCTAATAGAGTTTTTAGCAAGAAAGCAGACTATGAAAGAATCCAGTTGTACAACTTGAACCACACTGACCATAGAAGTATGGAGGAGGAGAAAAGAATTTATGTTGAGCTGGTGGATTTGGAGGCAGCTGAATCTGAATTCTACAAGCAGAAGGCTAAAGCTCACTGGCTAAAGGAACGTGATCTCAATACTAAATTTTTTCATCAAAGAATTGAGTCAAACAAGAAGAGGAATACCATAAAAGTTTTAAGAAGTGAAAGTGGGGAGTTGTTGGATTCTTTTGATGACATGGTTGCTGAGTTAGTGATTTTTTTCACTAATCTCATTGGAACTGTTGATCCAACAGTGAAGGGTTCTACTGTGGGCTACTTGAGAAACTTGTTAAATTACTCTTTGTCAGTGGATGCTGGGGATGTTCTCTCCAAAGATGTGGATGATAAAGAAATAAAGGATGCTTTGTTTAGGCAAGGTAATGGGAAAAATATTGGGCCATATGGTTTCTCCTCTTGGTTTTTTAAGGCTACCTGGAATGTGGTTGGTAGTGATTTCCTTGCTGCAATTAGGTATTTCTTTCATTCCTCTTTCCTGTTGCCAGCTTTTAATGCTACCTCAATTGTCTTAGTTCCAAAGTCATTAAATGCTTGCATGACCAAAGATTTTAAATCAATTTCATGTTGTTCTGTGGTCTATAAAACCATCACTAGAATCCTCACTACTAGATTGTCCCAATTTTTTCCTGGTATGATTTCACTTAGTCAGTATGCTTTTGTCAAGGGTAGAAATATTGCTGACAATACTTTGTTAGCTCAGGAAATTGTCAAGGGGTACTCTAGGAAGAGTCTTTCTTCTAGGTGTGCTATAAAGATTGATTTACAAAATGCCTTTGACTCTGTGAACTGGGATTTTTTTATGGTTGTGCTTGTAGCCATTGACCTTCCTACTAATTTTTGTGGTTGGGTTAGGACTTGTGTCACCTCCCCCAAATACTCAATTTCATTGAATGGTAGTCTGGTAGGTTTCTTTAATGGAGCTAGAGGGGTTAGGCAATGAGATCCTCTTTCCCCTTACCTTTTTGTTTTGGCTATGAATGTACTGTCCTCCTTATTAGATGCTACTGCCAAAAATGGTATTTTCAAATATCATCCCAAATACAAAATGATTTCTCTCACCCATCTTTGTTTTGCTGATGACTTGTTGGTTTTTTTCCATGGATCCCTTGATGCGATGTTGGGTGTATTAAGCACTTTAGAGGTCTTCTATGAACTTTCTGGCCTTAGACTCAATGTCATGAAACTGAATTCTATGTTTGTGGTGTGTCTGACCCTGTCCTTGAGCAGATTCCTGTACTGGGTTCAAAGTTGGGAAACTCCCTGTTAGGTACCTTGGTGTACCTTTGGTAACTAGAAAACTCACAGCTTCTATGAACTTTCTGGCCTTAGACTCAATGTCATGAAAACTGAATTCTATGTTTGTGTGGTGACCCTGTCCTTGAGCAGATTCATCTTCTAGTACTGGGTCAAAGTTGGGAAACTCCCTGTTAGGTACCTTGGTGTACCTTTGGTAACTAGAAAACTCACAGGGAAGGACTGCTATGCTTTGGTGATTAAATAAGGAAAAGTTTAGCAAATGGTCAAGTAAAAAACTGAGTTTTGGGGTAGACTTCAGCTCATTAAAGCTGTGTTGTTTAGTATCTTTAGTTACTGGAGCAGATAGTTGGAGCAAGATCTGCTCCTTGAAATCTGAAGGGGGCCTGGGGCTCAAGAACTTGATGGATTGGAGCAAAGCTTGCTGCTTATTACTTATAAAGAAAATTTTAGCAGTGAAGCTCACTCTGGATTGCCTGGGTCAACGCGTATTGTTTTAGCTCTGCTGATTTTTGGAATGTGGATTGTAAGATTCATTTTAGCTGGATTATGGTTAAATTGCTTAAGTAAGAAGTGAGGCTTGGAGACTGTTTTGCAGAAATAACTTGGCCCAAATTAAAGTTGGGTGGATATGGAACAACATTCGGAGTAGGCTTGGGAAGGTCTGCTGGCATCGTCTTGTGTGGTTTCCAGGTCACATTCCAAAATTCTTTGATCTCTGGATGGCAATTTTGGACATGCTACCTACAAAGGATAGGATCGCTAGGTTTGGACTGACTAGGATGTTTCCTGTGGGTTGTGTAACACTGGTATTGAGTCTCGGGATCATCTATTTTCTGAGTGTGTCTTTGCGAATAGCATATGGTGTGTTGTTCTTCTCTCCTGTGGCCTTGCGCAGGAGCCCTTATATTGGAGTGATAATCTCAATGGTTGCAGCAGAATCTCAAAGGTAAGTCTCTTCTGGTTCATCTACTCAAGTTGGCTTGGACCGGTTTTTATTACACTTCGAGGAGTGAAATCACAGGTTTTTCAGAGACTAGCTCGCTCGACTGATACTATGTTAGTAGAATTAGGGATGTCGTGGAATTAAATGTATAGATCTCATATGAATAGATTAGAACTGTAAATATGCAATTGTGCATAGCTTGGGGGTTGGTATAGCAGTTAGTGACTGTACAGGGACGTTGTATTGCAGTTTGTCTGCTTCTTTTTGGATGAATGAATTTTACTTATCCAAAAAAGAAATATAATTATAGACATCTTGGTCTGCACTCAAATGCCCACCACCGAAATACGGTTTCTTGATGTCGTATTGTATTTTAAATTATTTCAATTTCAAGTTTGAAAAAATCTCTGGTGTTGGAAAACTCAGTCCGACCAAGTTAAAAGAGCTATAGTTAAGAAGATGGTTATCATCATTACTATTACACCAACTTGGCTACCAATCTGGGGCTATAAGCATTTCCATCAAGCAAATTGTGAGGCCCCATTACAAGGCTCAAGAGATCCATAACCAGCTAACTCGGCGTTTTGAAGACATCCAGAACCATGTAGGTCGGATCCGTTGTTTGTAATTCTACTTTGATGAAGAAATAAAATAACGATGAATTTTGATAATTTATTCTTTCTCTCAATCACTTTCTCGATTATTCCAGTATCTTCTTCGATTCATTTATTCTCTGAAACATTTACTGGCATAACCATTCGATGAGAGAGATTTTTTTTTGGGGACATTCTCTGATGTTAGAAAATCGAAGTCACATACTGTATATCGACATTACAGAGCCTCACGTACACTTAAAAGATATATTTGTCATTTATGATAAATTAATTATTAAGAAGTATGCATAATGATTGGTGATAAAAAGAAAAAATAAATGACAAAATACTACTATTTTTTATCTTTTCTAAATATCTGAGTCATGGATAAATATATTAATATTTATTTAAGACTATCAATTTAATTTAATAAATATAAATACATATAATATGATTGATGAAAATTGTTTAACATCTAGAAGAGGTCTGATGATTTTTTTAATAAAATTCCAAGGGTTTAATGATTTTTTGTTTGTTTGTGGCAAAGGCCTCTAATTCCCATCATGGGGTCCTCCCTTAGGATAAATATAATAGAGAGGCTATATTTAAGTTGAGGTTAAGACTTGATATTTGTACTTGATATATCAAATTTTCTTTTGTTGTCTAAATTTAATAACTAATTAATGATTTTGATTGGGGTGATATTGATATTATTAATATTAATTTTTCAAATTTTAGAAATTATCGATGGTTGATTGATGTAATACTAATAATGATTAGTGGGAATATCTATGGAATTCTTTTTAAAAAACATTGAACATTGATCGTTGCTTGCTGAAATAACAAGATATCTATTAAGGTATTTACTCACCAATGGTAAAATTCCACATTCATCTTTGTCATATAAAAAGGATGAAGGGATATGAGTTTCTTGCACTCAAATCAACGATTAACGAAAGAAAAATGAATATTTACTTTTTAAATCCAAACACACTGAATTCAAAAACAAAAATTGTACCATTTCAATCTTTTAATCCATTACACTAGAACATTAAAGCATCGTCTAAACACATAATAAATGAATTCAAATATATTAATAAATCTAAGAACCGGTAAATTTGGTAACCGCCTTAGTACCTTCAGAGACGGCGAGTTTAGCCAATTCCCCAAGTAAAACTAATCTCACTGCCGTTTGGATTTCTCTTGACGTAATCGTCGACTTCTTATTATACCTAGCTAATATGGAAGCCTCCTGAGCCAATTTTTCGAATATATCGTTTATGAAACTGTTCATGATTTCCATGGCTTTGCTTGAGATCCCGATATCATGATGAACATGTTCCAAGACCTTGAATATGTAAATCTTGTAAGTTTTCGTACTCTTTTTTATTTTCTTCTTTTTTTTGTCTCCGCCTTCCTTGGAGATCTTCTTCTCCGATGACATTAGAGCTTCTCCGCCATCGACTTTTTCTCAGCGAGCTTTTTTCTCGGCCTTTGGTGCCATGGAAGAAGTGAAGGTTATTCTTAGGTGGCGTCTGGTTCGCTTGAATCCCTTGGAATTAAGGGGAATTGGAATCTAATTTCACCATTTTCCTATATTTGATTCAAGTTTTCAAAGGGAGAATTGGAATCAAATTCCAGTAAATTTCATCCATAACATGATGGAATTGAAATCATTTGGAGGAGGGAATGCGAAATTTGATCATACTACCCTCATCAATTTTTTGGTATTCATGTCGGATTTTTTTAAAAAAAAATCGGGATCGGTCGGATTTTTTTTTACAATTTTTGGGTTCAGGTCGGGTCGGGTTTTTTTAAAGTGTGATATTTGAGCGGGTCGGCTTCAGGTTTAGGGTGAAAAATACTGACCCGACCCGAGAAAAATATAATTTTACTTTATATATTTAAAAAATTACAGTAATGCCCCTCTATATATAATTTTTTTTTTCAATTAAGTCACTGTTTTTATTGAATAAAAATATCTTTTTATTATTTCGGGTCGGGTAAGGTCAGGTGAAATTTTATTTTAGTCGGGTTCTGTCGGGTCTCGGGTGGAGGTTCCCTTGTTCTCGGGTCGGATCGGGTGAACCAAAAACCCGACCCATGGTCATCCCTAATTGGGATGATTTTAACTTATGATGTTTATTAGTATGATTTTTATAATTTATTGAAACGAATAATCAATCAATAAAATGAAAATTTAATATTTTTAAATTTTTTATAATATATTGCTACATGTAAGTTATAAAACAAACTAAAATTAAGCAAAAAAACAAGAAGGGCGATTATGTCATTTTACATGAATGAAATCAAATTCATCTAACATGTTTGCTGTAATACCCCTATTTAGGGGCTAAATTTTAGAATAATAAAGTGGTGAAGTTAATTGGTATTTTGGGGGGAAATTTGAGGATTAAATTGAAAATTTTCAAACTTGGCAGATCATTTTATAAAGTACGATAAAAATTTGATAACTGATTATGGTTCAGATGATTTTTATAAGAATTGATGGACTTTAGAATTAAAATTACAATTTCTGTGTATAGTGAAAATGAATCAACTTGGATATGTAACATATAATTTATTTCATCGAATGTACTTGGATGGGAAATTATGAGAATATTACGGTATGATAAAATTACGAAAATACCCTTATGTTGTAAGATGACAATAATTATCCCTGGAAGTTGATTAATAACCCTGAAAGGATATATTGATCTGATAAAACTACAATGCGCATAAGAAATGCTAATTTGTTTAGAAATTTGGATAACCGGTTTTTAACCCATAGGGTTTATGCAAGATACTAGAAGTTTATTAAAGAGTAATTATTTTCGTTAAGAGTTAATACCGAAATTATCTGGTTAAGAAATTATGAAAATGCCCTTTAGAAGGAAAAATAGTCCGAGTTGACCCTGAATGAAAAAGTACTTTGAGGATTAATTTTTAACTCGATAAATTACTGATTTACTTGTTGAGATCCTATTTTTGTATGGAAAATTTCTGATAATTCGTTAGTAACATCTGAGAAGGTATTTAACTTGAAATCTTCGAGTTATGAGTAAATACCTGAAGAATAAATTATCGAGGGTGCTCTTCTATCAGAATTGTTCGTATATAATGAAATAGATGATAAGTCTGAATTAAATAATAAGATCGGACGGAAGGAACTGATTAAAATACGTGGGATCTTTAAAATGACCAAAATACCCTTGTAATGGAATGACTCAAGAATATCACCAAGTTTAGAAATGAATAGATATCATCAAGCTTTGAAATGAATGGAAAAACATTGAGCACCAAAATAACCAAAATGCCTTGAATATTCGTTTCTTCTTTTTCGACTCAAATCACTCCAGTATTTCCGGATGCACATGAAAACATAATGGGATTATAAAGTATCAACCTTAAATGTATGATTAAATCGGTTAGTGACCGATTCTCTTCAATAGGACCTCGTTCATGGAATCTGATCAAATTGCATAAGTTTTCTGTTATCCATATTGATAACTACAAAACGCCTCTGATAAATATTGGGATTTTCTCTAGTGTGTTCCTTATATTTTAATAAATTGTTTTATTGTTTTAACATGAGGTACATTGAAATTTATGGTTACTGTTTTATGGATGCACCGACTTAATGGTGATGGCTTATGGATTTGTATCACGGTATAAATTGTATCTTGGAGATACATATTTATAAAGTACAACTCTGATAAAGCTGGAAAATTTTTATGGACCTAATGTGACTCTTAGGTAGGCTCTGTGGCCCTGAGATCATTCTCGGGTAGGCCCTGCGGCCCTAAGATGTGTTCTTAGGTAGGCCCCGTGGCCCCGAACTTTCTTGGGTAGGCTCTCAGGCCCTAAGATGTTCCCTTAGGTTAACTCTTTATACGATGGTTTTAAACTACGAGTTTAAAAAGCTCCACTATGGTATGGTTTATGAGATTTACTGAACTATCAATTGATCAATGTACCTATTATGATTTTATGGTACTGTTGGAACACACTAGACATCCTATTCGATCTCCTGAAAATGTAATACTTTGAATGGTTCCTAGGAACTGTGATCTTCATGGCTTCAAATCGATGAACTACTAGTGGAACCTCAGATTTACCAAAAAATTGTATACGTCTGATTCAAGAAGGAAAACTATGTGGTTTTTTCATTTATCTGCATGTCCTTTAGAATCACTTGGTAGTTCTATATTACTGAGTTTTTCGAAGCTCACTCTATTACTCACCATTGCAGGTTAAAAGAATCGTACCTGTGCAGCTATCAACATCAGTAAGGGAGTTCTTCCGGCGTTGCTTTCAGAGGATGATACATGTGATTAGGGGGCATGTAGATTGTATTTTGTTTTATATCTAAGTTTGAAAAACCTGTTTTATTTCTTAATAATAATAAATCATTTTATGATTTTACATGTTTTAAGAAAAGTTTTAAATTTTCCGCTATTTTTACAGTGGGTCGCTCCGGTGGCCCTAATGTAACACTCCAGATCGGATCGGGCTATCCGCATCGGTCTGAGGGGGTTACATCTGCGAAACCAAACAAAATATGGAATTGGATTCAAATTCAATTTCCAGCCAATCAAACAGGTTTCAGATTCAGATTTCAATTCCTACAGATTCTAATTTCTTCACAAATTTCAATTCCCTCATAAATATTTCAACGAACCAAACGCCACCTTAGAGTCTTGTAAACCAAACAAACAATGGGAGAAAGAATTAGAAGTTCGGTGGAGAATATTATGGCGAAATGGTATTATGTATTTATAATGTGTGTGATAGAGTGTGATTGGGTGGTTGCGTTTCATGCGGATTGATGACGTGGTGTTATTTGATTAGATTAGTTCGATTTGAACTCCACGTGTGAGGCGAGATTTGGATAGTTAGAGAAAAATATCTCTATTGTCCAACACTCAATAAATTAGGATTTGACCTTTAAATAACATGATAAATCTTAACTATCGAGAAAGTATTCTTTCAAGTTCAGGACACATTATTAAATATAAATCATTAATTATTAAAATTTATATAAATATGCAATATCTCAACTATTATAAAATTGAATATTTTGATTTTTATTATATTTTCATTTTAATCTTTTTTTTAAATATTTTATTTTCTACACGTCTAAAAACTTAAATTTTTTATCCAAAATTTTAAAATTATGGTTGACTTAAATATTTTTATTTTAACCTCCTTTAATTTTTTTATCTATTTTTAAAATGAGCAAATTGATAATTCTTAAAAAAATAAAATTATTTATTTAATATACATTTTAAAAGTGAATAAATAAGAATGATATGTAATGCATGGCACATATTTAATTAGGGGTATTAACTGAGTTAAACAATTAAAGTTCAACTCGATCAAAACTCGATTAACGTTTACTCGACTCAAGATCTTAACGAGCGATTCGAGTGAAGTCAAACTCTACTCGATAAGTTTACGAGCAACCCATTATTTTCTTTATAATTTGTAGGATGTTGATTGCCTTATTTTTAAGATTAATTATGTATTGTTGAACTTCTTTTTTTCAAGAAGATTGTAATATCTTAGTTTAGTGTATTTATGGATTCTTACTTTAGTTGTAATATATTAATTTGGTATATATTTGAATTGTTATTTTGATTATAATATGTTAATTTGTTGCTTTAGAATTGTTTCACACAATATTTTTACAATATTAATTTTTGCATCATCTATTTAATTAAACTCTTACTGTCATTCTAAATCTAAAAAAAAGAAAATCTATATAGTTTTATTCTTATTATTGAGTATTTTATTGATATATAATTTAAAAAAACATTATTATTTTAAGAAAAAGGTGTAATAATTTAGATTGATTAATATAATTGCACAAATAAGAATCATTTATGATAAATTAAAATACAATAACATTCAAACATCTCTGTAAATTCATACTCAAATTTAAGACATCTAAGAATATCAATCATTAATCTCCTATTTAATGTTTGATGGATAGTGCATGGTTTAAACACGATAATATATAGGATTAAATCTCGAGGTTTAGCATAGCAGAGAGGGACCTAGGCTTGAATCTAACTATTTTTTTAAAAATAAAGCATAAATGCACTATTGCCTTTAAAGGACCTAGGCTTGTTTCTAACTATTTTTTTAAAAATAAAGCATAAATGCACTATTGCCTTTAAAGTATATTATTTGTATCGAGTTACCTCTTAAAGTATTTTTTGGGAATTTTTGTCTTCTGAAATTTAAATCGTTATCTCATTTGCCCCAAATCATTAACTTCGTTAAAAATAAAAGTCAACGACCAATCAGAACATGCCACGTCATTGCTTCATTTTAATTTTTTTAACTAAATAAATAAATAAATAAATAAATAAAATTTAATTATTAAAATAATATCAAACCTTTCCCTCACCTTTCTGCTTCACTCATCTGTTACCCTCG